TTTTTTGTTTTTGAGAGAGAGAGATTTTTGCTACAGGGTGCATATGTGCATGGGAGAGGCAGAGACAGTGTGAGAAATCCCCCCAATCCCCCACCCCCACGGCCACACCACAATCCCTTCTCCACTGTCCTCTTGGGATCTTAGGCGCACCTGCGTGCGCCCAGCGTGTTTCAAGCGTGGGGTTCGGGACTAGAACCACGGTTGGCCATGTGGGAGTCCAGCGCCCATCTATGCCCTCCCTTACCTACTTTAACCTGTGCACCTCATTACATTTTGTCGGGCTTGTGACCATTGTTCAGCCTGATTACGAGCTGCCTGAGAACCGCAGCCGTCTGGTCTGTTTTTGAGTTCCCAGAACGTACTAGAACCTTTGGTGTATAAGGGGTAGTTTAATAAAGATTTGCAGATGAAAGCGCCAGGCATTCTCTTCCGGGGCCAGGCGCTCCCAGGCGTCGGCTGCGGACCGACTCTGAGCAGGGAGAGGGGCAGAGGAGTCAGAGGGCTGGCGGCACGGGCAGAAGGGCGAAAAAACACGCTCTGAAAGGTGAAGCGGGCTGCCTGGGAGGTACCGAGGGGGACGCAGAAACGTGCCGTGGACTCGCCGGGTTACGCACAGGGGCCGCCCGCCTGCCCCCAGCGGCACACTCCCACGGCGGGCGGCCGCCCCCCCGTGGGGAGGCTTCCGGCCCCGCCCCGCGTTCCCCACAGTGCGCATGCCCGTACCGTGTCGTTGTCGACGTCCCCCAGGCAGATGGCGTGCGGGAAGAGGCTCCCGCTGAACTCCAGGGCCACACGCTGCACGTAGCTAACAGACCGCATGGCGCGTCCCGGGGGCAGAGGACTCGGGAGCTCCCAAAAGTGCCCCCCAGCCCCCGCCCAGCAGCCGCCCAAGCGGAAGGCCGCCGGAGCGGAAAGTTACGTCACCGCCGGAACCCGATCCCGCCTTCCTCGCTTCCCCTAGCGGAGAGGCGGGCCTTCCAGGCCGGGGGCGGGCCTACCCCGAGTGAGTGACAGGGCGCTGGGCCACTCGTTTTCTCTGAAGGGCCGGAGCGCGTGGACTAGCCGACCCTGTCGTGCCTGTCTGTTCCCTTGGCAACAAGGTTTTTAGGGCTTGACCTAATAACCTTGACCTCTTCCTTTGTTGCCCTGGCAGATAGGATTCCTAATCATCAGTCCATCCCTGAGAATCGTATTAGTAATCATAACTGATAATGGTATAATTTCCTAGTCGGTTTTTTGTTTTTTAAAAACTACCCATTAGGACTCGTGAAAACAACGTAGTGAATTGTAGGGACCAGCAGTTCGTGTAATGGCTATGTCCCTGGACTCCCGTGTAGTGGACCACAGTTCGAGTCCCAGACTCGGTGGCTTAAAATTCACGCCGGACGCGTGTGCGTGCGTGCCCAAGATCCTGAGAGGAGAATGGAGGAAAAGGGACTGCAGCGTGGCCATCCCCCCGGGGGGGTGATTTCTCGCTTTCTGTCTCTCTCTTTCTGGGGAGTGCTCTACAGCAAAAACCTCTCCAAAAAAAAAAAAAGGAAAAAAAACCAATGTAATGAATTGCAACTGCAATTTTAAAAGAGTAGCACAGAACATTCCAAGTGACTTTGAAGTAGTAAGGGTTGTTTCTTGTGTAGCCTTTATGTATTGTATACGTGGCTTACATGTGTGCCCAGTGTGTTTCAGGCTGACCTGACCAGGGATTCAAACCGTGGTCACCATGCGACCCAGCTTCTCTAGAGCAGCAGATTACTCCCGGATCCGATAAGTTTTTAGTTTTAGATCAGCCCAAGTTGATTTACACTTGGCCTTTCAGGAAAAATAGCTATTTACCTTTCCTGGGGAGGTCGGACTCAAAAAGTTCACAGGGCTGTTGCCACTGGCTGGCCCCATATTAGGTTTTAAGGGGTGGGAAAACAAAAACCGATTTAAAAATGTTTACCTGTAAGTATAAAGCTAAGTACTTTTGAACTCGGTTTTATTGTACTGTATTATCCTCCACTTTTCTTTTCCCAACCCTCTGGAGGAAACTGTAAATAAATACAGTAGGAAGTAACCGAGGACAGCCTAGAGGGGCACCACCCGATTCTGTCACCGAGTACCCTGGCCTGACCCAGTTCTCCGAGATCTTACCCGACCCAGCATCTCCAGTGTCTCGGTTTTATCTTCCTCATCATTTGGGCTTCTAGTTCTGGATCTTTCTGGGCCAGGGGTGTCTCTTTTTGTTTGTGAAGTATGTTTAATATGAAGGGCTTGTCATGATCACAGCTTGGATACCATGCCTTCCTGCCTATTTTTTTTAAAACTGTATTTTTAAAATTTATTTCACTTTATTCATTCATTCATTTTTAATTTGACCAGCGAGACACAGAGAGAGAGAGAGAGAGAGAAAGAGAGAAGGTGAGAACACAAGCTGCCAGGTCCAGGACTGTAACTGTGGTTAGCCAATGTGGGAGTGTCCAGTGCCTTTAACCATCACACCACCCACTGGTCCCGCCTTCCTGCTTTTTAAGAGGGCCAGGTAGGGACCAGCAGATGGTGTAGTGGTTATGTCACTGGACTCCCACCCACGTGGCCAGCTGTGGTTCAAGTTCAGAACCTGGCGGCTTGAAACTCATGCTGTGTGTGTGCGCGTGTGTGTGTGTGTGCGCGTGTGTGTGTGTGTGCGCGTGTGTGTGTGTGTGCGCGTGTGTGTGTGTGTGCATGCATGCCCAGAAATCCTGAGAGGAGAGTGGAGGAGGGACTGAAGCGTGGCTATCACCCCTAGGAGATGATTCTCGCTTTCTTTATCTCTCTCTGGTGAGCACATGCACCCTATAGCAAAAAATATCTCTTAAAAAAAAAAAAGAGGGCCAAATAAAGAAAAGGAAGAAAGGGGCTTGTAGATGGTATGGCGGTTAAGGCGCAGGACTCACACATGGTTAACCACTGTTCAAGTCCCAGAGCTGGCGGCTTCCTTTCTCACTTTCCTTCTCTCTCTCTCTGGTGAGCACATGTGCCAAATTAAAAAGTAATAAATAATAAATAATTCTTAAAAAGGGCGGGGAGGAGCTAGGTCTCCAAGAAACGTGCCTTACTCCCCACGCACATGCCTGTCCTCACCTTGCATCAGTTACAGAAGTATCCGTGTGGTTCACAGGAGAAACACACAGCTAGGCACTGCGGAGCCGTGCAGACCGACCGCTGGCTTTCCCGGAAGCACACCAGTTCTTGGCCCCTCTCTAGTGGGATGGCCAGTGGGTCTCTCCTGCTGCCATCTAGCCCCGGCTTGTCTACGCCAAGCACTTTCAGCATGGTTTTGGCTTCTGCCCAAGAACTGTCTAACCAGTCCCTTCCTGGTTAGGTGACATGGACAGTTGTGTAGGTGGTAGATTCGTTGCAAACCAAGTAATAGCTTTGGGGGGAAGTCCTCTGTCCTCCGGGAGTACAGGCTGGCTTACCCGATGGTCTGCTCGGGTGCTCAGAAAGCGCAGCGCCTTCACAGCTTCCCATCCACGTAGGACCCTGCAGCACCTCCACCCTGGGGACGGGGCCCAGGGCTCCCTAATGGGCTGTTGGAGAGCTCACGCCATTCTCCTCCCCTCTCTAACCGACAGTTCCCCTGACGCGTTCAAGTCTGTTTCTCAAACTCACGTGACCTATCAGGTGTCAGGAAGGCCATGCCGCATCGCTGTTTCTAGGCAAAACGCGTCGTGACTTTCCCTGACGCAGTGGAAACCAGGTGTGGCGCGGGCAGCTCTGCCGAGTGAAACGGTCTCTCTCTCGGAGCTTCGTTCTGCCACCCCTTCCTTACCGGTCTGGCCCCTGGAAAGGAGCACCTGGCTCTGCCAAGCTTGGCTCCTAGAATCTCTTCAAGACTCTGCCAAAGGACGGGTGATTGTCACACGCAGGCCGAGGACGGTGTGGAGCCAGACAGAGGTTACGCAGCCACGTGGGTGCACCGTACACCGCCGCAGTGTTCACTTTTACATGGTTAATTTTATGTTGTCAACTTCACCTAGACAAACACAGGAGGATCCGATTCTGCTGTACTTGTAAGAGTGCAACAGGAGAAGGGGTTCTAAGAAACACCCGTATCTTGGGGTGGAGAAGAGGGTTAGACTGGCCTTTTCTGGCCAGCGGACACTAGAGACTCATGAAGGCATGGCTTTTTTTTTTTTTTTTTTTTTTTTGGGGGTTTTTTATATTAGGGCGTGGGTCGCCCCAAAGCGTGTGCTCACCAGAAAGACAGAGACAGAAAGCGAGAAATCACCCCCTGGGGGGATGGCCATGCCTCAATCCCTTCTCCATTCTCCTTTTGGGATCTTGGACATGCACACACACATGCTTGACGTGAGTTTAAGCCACTGGGTCCGGGACGCAAAAACTGCGGTCGACTCCGTGGGAGTCCAGCGCCATAGCCATTATGCCATGTGCTGCTTCCCAGGCCTGGCTTCTTCTTGCCCAGCCCTTCTCCAGTGATCCTTGTAAACCTTCCATTCTTACTTTGCCTGTCAGGTCAGTTTAATTGTTGAGGTGTTCCAATGTCTTTAACATGACTGCTCTTTTGGGTACTGTCACTACATCCACGTCATCGAGGTTGGCGAGCAGCTGGGGAACTGCAGCCCTCCACTGTACTGCTAGGAACAGAAATGCTCAAGTCTGGGGCCAGCAGATGGTGCGGGAGTTACGGCACCACCGCACTCCCACATGGCCAACCAGTTAACAGTCCTGGGCCCGGCGGCCTGAAACCCACACTGGGTGCGTGTGCATGCATGCCCAAGATCCTGAGAGAATGGAAAGGAATTGTAGGTAGTCATCCCCCCAGGGGGTGATTTCTCACTGTCCCTCTCACTCTCTTTCCTGCAAACACGTGTGCTGTAACTCACCCCCCTAAACAAGAAATACTCAACTCTGGGCGTTTATATCAGGATTCAATTATGGGGGGGTCCCACCCTGATGACCTGAATCCTTAATTGCCTCCCAGAGACTGAGTACAGGGTGGTACTAGTCCCCATTATCCAAGCCCATCCCTGCGTAAGGACAGCGTTAGAGGTGAGGAAGGTGCTGCTCTCTGGGACACGAACTTGAGCACTGACCTAGCGCAGAGTTGAGTATGTGGTAGGGCTATTTTTAGCCTTAAAGCCTTTTAGCTATTTTAACAAAACATCCTCACAAATCAGTTTTAGCATTATGTAACCAAGCCTTATCGATCTCCAGCGGAAGTGCAGGGTAAGTTGTAAATATCTGGTATCTTAGAGCTGAGGGGCCTCGGGACTGCTTTTTATTCATCTCCCTACTTCTGGAAATGAGGAAAACAGCTCAAGACTTGCTTCAAGTCCCATGAACCTCAGGGCAGAGTTTGGAATAGTTTGGGCACCTCTTTCTGAGCAGACCCCTCTTCCCGGTTAACTTCTGAGCCCTGATTTCACCACTTACAAGATGGGATAATACCTGGTTCTAGGATGGCTGAGGACTGAGGTTACCGACGCGGTACAGCACTAGGCACACAGCCCGGGGAGCAGCTGCTGTTGGCTGCAAGGGCAAGCTCTAACTTGGGAACCCTGGAGGACCCAGACACAGACCCCAGCGCACGACCATGAGGGGAACTGAGAAACAAGCGAGTGGTGGCCCGGGGACCCTGGAGTGCCCACACTGCTGCTCTGCGAGGACGGGACGGAGACATTCCTTCTGAGAACGGCCTGGCCCACGTGGCAGGAGAGAGCAGAGCACAGCAGACGCTCAGGCCTGCAGCCCAGGCCAGCCCTTCCGGAAGCTCCGTGTGACCGAGTTGTGCCCCTTCCCTTCACCCAGGTCCTGCACTGCCGTGGGAAATGAGCACCACAGTGCAGTTAACCACAGGTGTTGTCCTGTAAAGGCTGAGAGGGAAGCCGGGGTGACCACTGTTCTGCATGCTCACTGTAAAAGGTGACTGACAGGAGGCACTTGGGGACACTAAGAGACCAAGAAGCATGCCAGGGGTACCTGAGATCTGATGGAAGGGCATCGTAGCATGAGCAGACATCTCTCCCACATGTGCATGCACGTAGTCACAAAGGAAGAAAATTAAAAGCAAAAATCCAGAAAGCACAAACAATGCCTCTCTCATATCAGAGTGAGCCAAAAGTAGAAAAGTATAACTTTAAAGCAAACATGCCTGGACCAGGTCCTGTAGGTGTTCATACCGCCTGCATCCCAGCATTAGACCGTAGGTACTGGGGGAGGGAAGGCTGGAGGCCCACGGCAAGGCCATAGTGCAAGTCCTGGTGCAGCCTGGGGAGTGCTCCAACACCCCACGGAGCGGGGTTTCCTGCCCCGCCAGTGTCCACTGATAAACTGCTGGGGACTCGCTGGGCTGCCCTCTATTTGCCCATTCCCATGGCGTACCCTCCCACGCCCGCCCTCCACAGCCAAACAGAAAGGGCTGCCCGACACCCACGTTTTCTTGTTTCCACTTTATTGCTCAAGCATGGAACTTGAGGTGAGCCTGGACCTTCAGCAACGTGCAGAGGCTGAGGATGGGTGGGGACACGACCTGGCTGAGGGGGAAACGACAGGAGTACCAGGAACACCAGAAGGGGGACAGTGGTGGTCACTCTGACACCAGGAGACATCGTCGGCCACACCATCCGCGGTGAGGACGGGGACAGAGAGGTGACGGGCACAGCAGTGGTTCTCCCCATGCCCCTAGCACCCACACGGAGGCCACGTTTGCAAAGGGACCGAGAGGGAAAGGAGGAGGAACGCGGCTGCTCAGGGGTCTCCCTCTCCACCCTGGTTTCACATCAGACCCCACCCCTACCACTGCCCCCTTCTGTCATCTGAAAAATGGACCTAACAGAGGGAGAGGGAGCAAAATAAATTAACATTCGGATGACTACGTGGATGGACGTATGTTCACGTGTAGTGGAGGAAAGGAAAGGGGGGACGCCACCTGAAATTACCCCCCACTTCGCACCCCCAGCCTACTCCTTTCCCCCTTCCCTCCAAAGCCACATCCAATCAGATAGAAAAATAAAGGTCTAATTCACTCAAAAGTCTTCAGTTTTTACAAAACTAACAGGGTGGAGTGGGGCAGGGACGGGAGGCGGCAGCCGCAGGAGCAGGGCTGGGAGAGGCTATGCTTCTGTCTCCACCTGAGGCTGGCCCCCTGCCACGCTGCCCTTCTGCTCATCCTTCATCTCCATGTCGCTGTGCTGGTCTCCCGCGGCTCCCTCCACCTTGGCCTGCGGGAGGAAGGCAGAGGAAGAGGCTGAATGCTCAAGTGACATGCATACGCTGAGCTCCTGTGGACTTGGGAGCACAGGAGTCCTTCCAGACTCGTCCTAAAGACACACCTGTACGGTGCAAGTCAGGACCTCGCAGGTCACACACTGTGCAGTGCCATGCAGAACTCTGCTCACTCCATGTGGCTGCCACTCCATGGGGCCAGCTCACACCGGTGCACTCGAAGGGCACGTATACCTGGGGCCTGAAGACTTCATCTTAGATTTTAATACCCTGGGCCATCTAAGATATCAAAGATAAATTCCATCTTTTTTTTTTTTTTAAAAAAAGAGGTTTTTTGCTATAGGACAAGTGTGGTCACTGGACAGACAAGACAGAAAAGTGAGAAATCACCCCCAGGGAGGATAGCCATGCTGCGATCCCTTCTCCTACATTACTTTTGGGATCCTGGGCATTCATGCACACATGCATGGTGTGAGTTTTAAGTTGCCGGGTCTGGGACTAGAACTGTAGTCAACTATGTGGGAGTCCAGCAATGTAACCGTTATGCCATCTGCTGGTCTCCACCTGTTTCATTTTATCTTTTTTAAAGAATGATTTAACTTCCTTTCCTTCCTTTTTTTTTTTTTTTTAAGGTTTTTGCTATGTGGTTCATACGCTTGCCGGAAAGACAGAAAAGAAATCACCCCCCGGGGGGATGGTCACGCCGCAATCCTTTCTCCTCCATTCTCCTCTTGGGATCTCAGGCACGCATGCCCACGTGTCCAGCCTGAGTTTAAGCCATTGGGTCCAGGACTTGAACCGTGTTTAACTACATGGGAGTCCAGCAAGGCAGCCATTACACTGTCTGCTGGTCCCAACTTACTTTCTTTAATTACTTAAATTTGACCAGAGAGAGATGGGGGTGTGAGCGAGAGAGAGCGAGCTCAAGCAAGAAGGCAAGCCATCTCGTCCAGGACTCAAACCACAGCTGGCCACACGGGAGTCCACACCCTTAACTACAATGCCCCTTGCCAGCCCCTCATTTTATCTTTTCAACATCGCTACTAGAAAATTTAAAATTACACACGTGGTTTGCAGTTCTGCTGCATATGCTGGCTTAGAACTGTTGATGGACTAAGAAAGAGGGGACTGGTCCAAGATGCACTATAATGGGACCAGCAGTCAGCGTAATAGCTATGTCGCTGGACTCCCATGTAGTCAACTGTGGTTCGCGTCCCGGACCCAGTGGCTTAAAACTCACGCCGGGCACGTGTGTGTGTGTGTGTGTGTGTGTGTGCTCAACCCCTCTAGGGGGTGATTTCTCGCTTTCTGTCTCTGTCTGGTGAGAGTGTGTGCCCTATAGCAAAAACAAAAAAAAAAGATAGGACGCTGGGGTAAGCCCACGGGCTATAACGCTCTCTTGCACTGGATGCAAAATAAACTTGAGCTGTTACTCTGTGGCCGAGGTACAGTGCGGGAAGAAAGGCAGGGCCCGTGGGCTGTCCTGTGATGGACGGAGAAAGCACATGTCTGCTGTGGACGTGTGTGGGCGCTGGAAGGGTGGGAGCTGGAAGGGTCAGCGCAGGGGAGGGTGGGCAGGCTTCGCGACACATCCTTTCGCGCCGGCCGACTGTTAACGAGACCAATGTATCGCGCACCTCCACACACACCTGGCACTTGGCTCCTTCAGAGGCTCCAGGCGCAGAAAAGAACATCGATGGAGGACATATGCTTGGAGCGACCCCCCTGCCCCGCAGGGCCTGCGCGGCGCCCAGCCCTGGCGGAACGCTGGCCCCCACCTGTCCCTCAGGGCCTGCACGGCGCCCAGCCCTGGCGGAACGCTGGCCCCACCGGCAGGGGTTAGTACTGTGGGAACACACACGGGCCGCCTGGCTCGTTTTCAGAAGTGGCAGCGCGTGAAGAGCCCACGCCCCTGGGCTGAGCAGAGGGCTGAGGAAATGCCTCCGCAGGCTGACCCCCACCTTGCTCTCCTCCTCGGCCAGCCTCTCGAACATGTTGGCGTAGAGCCTCTTCTCCCGGGCGAGCTGCTTGCGGATGCGCTGCTGGCACACAGCCAGCTGGGCCTTGGCGGCCTTGTTGGTGGGGTAGAGCTGCAGCACCTTCTGGAAGTCAGCCCGTGCCAGGTCAAAGTCATTCACGGCCAGGTGGGCCTCTCCACGGCGGAAGAGGCCCTTCTCGTTGTTGCTGTCCAGTTCCAGGGCCTGGGGGTGCCGAGAGGAAGCAGCAGTGAGACCGCGGCCACATGGCCTCTCGCCCAGGCTCCGTTCCAAAGGTGCCCCTCGGCCAGATGAACAGGAACGGAGACTGGCTCCACCCCCGAAAGAACAAGGCCGGGGACACGTGGAAAGGGCTAAGGCAGAGAGGGAGACCGCAAGTCTCTGAAGAGATAAAGACTTCCGAGATTCCCTTCTCTTTAGCATAAAGCAGGTAGGTAAGGAGAGGCTAAGAACAAGGTGGGGAAAACTGTCACGTGTTCCTCCCAGCTGGGGAGTCCTCTGCTCCCATGCCAGCTGCCCCCATCACGAACGCCTGTGCTTCTGCGCCCGTGACCCACCCCCAGGCCTGTTTCAGACACGCAGGCGGCTCACCCGGCCCTGCCTACAAATGCCAGCTCCAGGCTCGTGCAGGGCTCACCTTGTTGCAGCTCTCAATGGCGGCTGAGAAGTTCTGCAGCTTCCGATGACACATAGCCAAATTGAGGTGAGAGGCCAGGCGGAGGGCCTGTGCCTTCTGCTCCTCTTCGCTGGAGAAACTTGACTCGTATTCCAGCCAGGACACAATCTTCTTGTACTGCAGTAAAGCCTGCTTGTACTTGCCTTCCTAGAAGGGGAGGAGGCCCAGGCAGCCAGTTATCACACACACCCCGTAGCCGCCCCACTCGCGGCATGGGCCGCCTCCACTCTGACCCTGCCAGACCCGCGAGCTCAGGTACGCCAGATGAGGACTGCAGGTACCAACCCATCCGCTTCTCGGCAGGACACGGCCTCAACCATCAGGGGAGGGTGCCGGTGGCTCACCTTGAAGTACACAGTGCCCCGCTCTTTCACTATGGTGCTCTGTTCCAGCTTCTCCTCTGAACTCATCTGCCAAGACTCCTTGGCCTGCCGTAGAAACAAAGGTGTCAGCTACTCGACTCACCTGTAGGTGGGGCCCAACTTCCGACAGGACCGGCCTTGAGCAAACCTACCTTCTCGAAACTCTTGAGGTGTAATTCGTATTTCAGCTCAGCATACGGGGGAATCTGGAACTTCTCCTTCCCTGTGCTGCCAAAAGCGTAGCTGTAGGGGTGAGAGCACGTGCGGTTGGTTATCTGCGGGGCTCGTTACAGCCCTTCACCTGCTCTAGGCTCAAAGGCTTCCTCGCCCACTTCCTGGAGACTTGGCTCACGTGTTTCCTGACCACCTCACAACACCAGGTGCTCCTTAGCGTCTTTGTAGCCTTCTAATAACTCGTAAGTACAGAGGGGTACAATTTTTATTTTTCTTGAGAAATTTTTGTTATAGCGTGCATATGCTTACCAGAGAGACCCAGAGGCCTGAATTTCAAACCCCCTAAGGTCTGGAACTCAAACCGCAGTCAGCCATATGAGAGTACCATGCCTTAATCATTATGCCACCTGGAGCAGTACAATTTTTATTTTTTAAGAATATTTTATTTATTTAATTCCACTTATTATTATTTTTGAATTTGACCAGAGACGAACAGAAAAAGCAAGAAAGCAAGCTGCCATGTCTGGGACTTGAACCGCAGTTGGCCATGTGGGAATCCAGAGCCCTGAACCCCCACGCTACCTGCCGGCCCCACAAGACGATATTTAAGTGACACCTTGTGGAACGAGGAGTCATTACAAGAACAGAATAATGTGTTATTAGATGTACTTAGCCCTCCATTTATTTTAATTTGACCTGAGAGACACACAGAGAGGGAGAGAAGGAAAGTGAGAAAGCAAGCCACCAGGTCGGTCCAGTGCCCCAACTACCACGCCACCTGCTGGTCCCCTAGTCTTTGAATTCTTTTTTTTTTTTTGGAGAGGTTTTTGGTTTAGGGCGCATGCGCTTGCCAAAGAGACAGAGAGACAGAAAGTGAGAAATCACCCCCCAGGGGGGATGGCCACGCGGCAATCCCTTCTCCATTCTCTTCTTGAGATCTTGGGCATGCATGCACACGCGCCCGGCGTGAGTTTAAGCTGCCGGGTCCAGGACTTGAACTGCGGTCGACTACATGGGAGTCCAGCGACAAAGCCATTAGGCTAACTGCTGGTCCCAGTCTTTGAATTCTTAAGAATTTTCGGCAGTGTGTCGGGAACACAGTAGGTGTGTTTCTGTGAATGGCATTAAAGGGCGGACAAGCCAGGGGGAGATGGAAACGGATGTCAGCAATACTCGAGGACAGTGGACGGCTGTGGGTGCACCTGCCCACACGGTGAGGGGTCGGGATGGCGTGTCTGAAGTGTCTCCTACTGCCGCGAGCACACGGAGCGGAAAGGACACCAACGGCCAGCATCTGGCTCGCCGAGGACAGAGGCGGGCTGCCAGCTCTCACCTGGGCTTGAGGTACACGATAGACTGCTCTCCTTTCTCCATGCGCTGAATGGCCTTCTCCAGCCCAAAGGGCAGGTCCAGGCTCTCCCCCTCGCCCAGCTCGAAGCGGAGCTCCCGCTGGTCAAAGAGCTGGTCTCCGTAGAACCCTTGCAGTGCGACTGGCAATTCAGAGGAACAGGTACAGGGCGTGAGAGGGCAGGTGACGACAAAGAGGCCACCCCCATGTGGCACCATCACTCCTCGTCCCCAGGATGCCTGAGGCGTCCTCAGACTAGGAGGGATGTCCATGGAGCACAGTCCAACCCCTCCTCTATGGATGGCTCAGAGAAAGGAACAGACTTGCCCCACGTCAGCCGGAGCCCACGTGGGAGAATGAGAAGCCACCCCCGACTGCGCGCTCACCCTCCACCACGGCGCCCTCGTTGGGCCGGGCATAGCCTTCACCCCGAGTCCGTATTCTGCGAATGATTCCGCCATCTTCGTCCTCCGTCAGATCCTCGCCCTTGAACTCAAACAACTCCACCTGTGGGACAAGGCTTTAAGTGACACGTCGCCACCCCCTACTAGCTCATCAATAGCGAGGGACGGCCCCTCTCATCCAGGTCCTTAGTGGCTGCTGGGCCAGAGCTGAGTGCAAGGCAGCCACGTGAGCTAGGACAGAGCGGCACTTCTGTAAACTCGAGGGCACTGCCCCGGTTTCGGCGTTGGTCAAGGCGAGCAGGTCCTGCAGATTCCCAGCCTCACAAGAGCCGTCTCCTTTTCACAAGGACATGTCCCAGGCACTCCTAATCCAAGCTACTGGAACAGCCCGTATGGCAGGCATTAGAAGTGACCCGACACTGGAACTGGCAGATGGCGTCATGGTTACATTGCTGGACTCCCATGCAGTCGATCACAGTTCGAGTTCTAGACCCAGCAGCTTAAAACTCAGGCTGGGCGTGTACGCGTGCCCAAAATCCCGAGAGAAGGAACTGTGGTGTGGCCAGCCCCCGGGGGGTGACTTCTTGTTTTCTGTCTCTGTCTCTCCGGCATGTGCACATGCCCTAGGGCAAAAATATTGAAAGAGAAGAAGTGACTCGCCATCTCCCAGCGGCCTTTGGACATTCGAGTGTCCACTGATTGGCTCGAGCATTTTCAGACCGAAGCGTGCAGTCCCATCTCCTCAGTGAAGGAGATTGTCCTTACTTCCTTGACTTCCAGGCCTCCCCTCCTCTGAGGTCTCGCGCGCCGAAACCCTCTCCTGTCATTTCCAACACTGTAGGCAGTTTCTGACCCCCCAGCTCCTTTCAGATAAGACAGCAGCCCTTTCTCTGTGGGACTGCTCTTGAGAGCAAGATGAAGCACTTGAGCCCCTTCCCCGGCTTGGAGTCCGGAGAGGGGTCCGTAGCCACCTCGTCCTACCTGGAGCCTCCACTGGCCTCGCTCTGAAAACAGCAAAGCCAGCTCCCTCTCCGGTTCTCCCCTGCTCTAAGGCCAGGCCCTCAGCTTCGGCTACGTTGTCTCCAAGAGGCAGGAAGGGCTGGAGGGCAGCCAGGCGCTGGGCTGAGATAAGGCCTGGCGCTCTGCCTGGGTCTCGGTGGCCGGACACTCACCTCGAACACCAGCGTGGCATTGGGGGGGATCTTTGGAGGGCTGCCTGGCGAACCGTAGGCATATTCAGGTTTGCAGGTGATGTGGCACACTTCGCCCACCTTCATGGTTGCTACGGCAATGTCCCAAGCCTTGATGACCTCCCCTGTAGATACAGAGGCAAGCAGGACTCCTCAGCAGGATTCCAATCCCAGGTTCAAACAGTGCCCCCAGAGAGTTCCTGGACCACGCCACACCACACCCGAGGGGAAGCTGGACACCCTTTAGGAACGGGAGCAGGAGGTGAAAGCTTGGCGGCGGTAAGGGCTGCCGGGTCTCAGAATGCTAACAGATGGCCCAACAAAGGAGTACAAGCAGCAAGACAGTCCGCCCCTAAAGAGGGAGCGAGGTGCAGAGAGCTGACAAGGAAAAGGAGACAGAAATCAAGAGTGACCGAATAGAAGAGGGACAAAAAGGGGAGCAGGCGGTGACACGTCACTCCTCCCAGGGCTTGGGATGAGAACCTGGTTCCTGCTATCTCCCAGCCCACCCTTCCAGCCCCGATAGCCTACCTTTCCCCAGGTCAAAGGAGAACTTGTCCTTGCGGTCCAGACTGGAGTCGAACTTGGTGCCGTCCAACAGCCAGCCAGTGTAGTGCACAAAGACTCGGTCCCCAATCATGGGCACCTCTGAGCCTGTGCCCTCTCGCTTGATGACCTGGGAGGAAGGGAAGAGTGTGAGTACCCCAGGGATGCCGGCTTCCCTATACAGAGATTCAAGGGACCACCTCTAAACCGGCCTGATGCTGGCGGCCTGGGTAGGAGTCTAACCAGCCTGAGTGCCTGTCTTTCTTGAGATGTACAGCGCGACTCAGTTTGAAAAGCTGAGGCGGAAGCCGGAGTTCAAGCCTGCTGCATGATCCCCAGCTCTGGAGACCTTATCTGAAAAGCTGGGATGATTCTATCTCCCAGAGCTGATGGAAGATTAAAGCAGTAAAGGGCCGAAAAAAAGGTGACTACTACCCTCAACAAACAGGGAAGTAGTTACGCTAGGCTTTGCGTTCCTCATCCTAAACCAGGGGCCATCAGATCAGCATCTGTGCGGGGCAGAACAAGAGCCACAGGGGGAATGAAGACAGTGCTAACAGTTCGGAGTACGCGAAGGGGGCTGATGAGCACCGAACCGGGCGGGCCCTAAAACGTGGAGGTACAGCTTCTGGTCTTCCCTCGACAGGCCACGTGCAGGTGTGTGGTTCCCGCTAAGGGAAGGCATCCAGACAAAATGAGTGGGCGGGGGCGCCGAGGGGCGGGGAAGAAGGGGAAGGGAGGGGGAAACCGGCCTCCCTGGTAATAACCTCGCAGAAAGCAGCAGGACGCTGGAGGGAGAAGGGAAGCCCGCGGCCCACGCTGAGCAAAGGCGGACGCCCTCCTGGACCACGAAAAGCTCCCCGAGGTCTTCAGCTCTCAGGTCGCACAGGCCCGGGGCTGCGCGGTGGGAGGCCTGGGGAGAAGCCGGCCAGGACTTCTCCATCTGCAGAAACCTGCTCTGAGCCACCACGCACAGGTTGTCCTGACCCAGGTCAAGACGCCCTCTCGCCCGCTCCACTCCTCCTCCAGCCATTTGTAGTCAGGCAGTTACTCAGCAGGGATGCCGGGCAAAGCCCTCCTGCCGCCCCGCGCCCCCTCCCCGCGGGACGAGGGGCTTCAGGCTCCAGCATGCACCGCCACCGCAGCCCGGAGACGGAGCGGACACGGCGCGGCTGAGCCGGTGGCCCAGCCGGGCCAACGCCTCC